GTGCACCTTGATCCCTCCAATGCAGCATTGGCTTCCTTTCCCCCTCTTTGCAAGTGTCCGGGTGCATTGAAACAGTGTTGGATATAGTGAACGTCCTTCCAAGAAAAAAGCCTTCCCACATACAACACGTAGTTGACAAACCACCTGCAATGAACTCATAGAAATATGTCACAGTCATACAGCAGTTGCAAATGTGTAGGCAAGCATATATTGCAGTGCAAAAGTAAGCACACACTGACAGGGCAACAACTCTAGAGTTGTAGTATATAGTAGAATATAGGAAGAGTATATATATATATATTATTATATTATATATATACATATATATGGCATATATATATATTTATATATTTATATTTAATTCCAAATGTATTACAGATGTGTGAAAACGAGGGAACTCCCCGGCAACTCTCAAAGTAGAGTAGGATCCTTTTCCAGCATGAGCCGATGTAGGATCCCAAACAAAAAGAGAGCAAGATGCCAGCATTGTTCGTAGAGGCCAGAATGTTCCTGCAGGGGAGTCCCAAGCAGCAGGGCAGAATGTTCAGTCAGGGATATATATATATATATATATATATATATATATATATATATATATATATATATATATATATATATATATATATATATATATATGACACCACTATGTCTCTCGCCTTGAGACGTTGTGGCACACTTCCATTTGTGGCCGCCAGCTATATGATGTCATACCTCACTTCTCTCGTTCTTTGTGTTGGACCAGAGGCCTCTCACGCAGAGATGTATCTTTAGTGGCTCAGTTCCTAACAGGCCACTATCCAACTAACCAATACCTCCATCGTTTCCACCTTGTCGATGATCCACAATGCACATGGTGTCATTTCCCAATTGATGACCGCAACCACCGACTCTTTAACTGTCCCCGTTTTACTTTTCTGCGGCAGCAGCTAACCAGTGAGATCCGTCACTTGACACATGGCACTGGTGATTGGGATTGGGCTTATCTTTCCGGACTGGGACGACCTTACCTGGCTCGCTTTTTGAGGGCTGTCCGACGGGCATAGTTGAGAGAGGATTATGTTTATATTGACATGGTGATGACCGTTGCTGGAAGTCAGATAGGGCAACAAACCGGGGATCTTATGGGATAGTTGGGACACTCTGAAACACTTTGGGACACTTTGGGACATTTCGGGACACATTGGGACACATTCTGGGACATTTGGGACATGACCTGATACACTCTCCCTCTTGCCGAACACTTTGCCGAACTGCTTGGGACTCCCCTGCTGGAACATTCTGGCCTTCACGAACAATGCTATCTCTTGCTTTTCTTTGTTTAGGGTCCTACATCGGTTCCTGCTGGCAAAGGATCCTACTGCACAGTGAGCGTTGCAGGGGAGTTCCCTCGTTTTTCGAAACATATGTAATACATTTGGAATTAATATATATATATATATATATATATATATATATATATATATATATATATATATATATATAGTAGATCTACTATACAATGCCTGTGTGGCATGCAACACATTTGGCTATATGGATTGAACATAGAATAAACCTATTCCCCCCATTTATTCTTTGTTGGCCTATAACACAGGCTCCTTGACAATCAGTGCACTTCGGGCTTGTGTTGAATCATCCCTTGTGTTGAGATCGAAGGTAAATGCAAGAAATGAAACAACGCCAGCCATGACCATAGCGACGACCCGCTGGCTATGCCCTAGCCACCAGCACCGCAAGCTAGCTGCGCTGGATGAACCGGCTGGGCGTATGGGCCAAAAGGTCTGCTGCTTTCTCACACTCACGCATGTGTTTGGTTGGCGTTTGTTCACAAGGACACCCCACCAGTGGGTCTGTTAGGGCTGTAGGGCGCCCCCCCACCCTCCGGGAGTCAGGAAGGGGATTTTAGCCACAAAATTGTGCGTTTCATGAAGGATACGAGTCCAAGATTGCAAAGATGCACAGGGTAGCTCCGAGGCTGACGTTGAGTTGCCGTTTGCAATGTCCTTGGAGCTACTATGTGGCAGCCATACAAGTCAACAAACCTGCAGCCAACCTTGATTCTGACCACTTCATGATGGATGCATTGTTGCTGATGTCAGCATGCACAAATGTGTCCCCCATTGTCACATCTCATTGGCCCAAACCTCACAAGGAAATTACGTCCGTCTGCTCCTATTCACCTGGCGGGCAATACTCGGCCCCGCAGCCACTTCTCGCTCCCCGGCAGGAGTCCATCCGCAGTATGCACCGGAACAGAAACAGCTCCACCCAGTCCACACGGACACAATCACACTGCGAGTGCACATCAGATGTCACAATGCATCCAGAAGTTCGTCAAGGTCATATCCCCGACGTTTAGGACCCCAACTAAAGTGCTGAATAACATGCCCACTAAGCTAAAGGTGGCATGTGAAGCATTGCCTGGAGCCTGCCCTATATCAGGGCATAGGAAGCTTTCACACCATAGTGAACATTGACAAAAAGCTGCCAATGCACTACCTACCTTTTAGATGGACAAACATCGGCACCTACCAAACCACCGCAATTCTGCTATTTGATCCTGCTCCCCTGTCCGTCGATAGCACCCTGCTGTTTGACACCAGTGGCGGTGACAAGTGCCCTGGTTGAGTTCAATAGCCTCACGCCCAGTCGAAACAGTGCAAAAGAGATACCACCCCACTGCCTCCAGCCTTAGCGATCCTACAAATACAGTATTTATAAAGATGCAGTACATACTGCAGGAATGCGCACACGCCCACCCTTTCACACACAACTTTAGCATTGCTGCTGTGGCCCACAACAATCCATACAGGCAAATGTTGCAAAACTGTGGGAGTTAACTGAAAAATACACTGATTGCATGGTTCAGCTGTCAGGGAATTTATACTTGGGAATACACAAAGAACTCAAATTACTATTTCAATAAGTGTGAAGAGGACACATAAGAAGGATGCACGTTGATTGAAACAAATCAGAACAAATATGGAGGGAAATTGGAAACAAAACGCAGACAAGGGTGGCATCGCCGTGGTTTTGCACACTTTGTGCGTAATCTCAGAAATTTGACACACACGTACTCAGCAGATCCGCCCCACCAAGCCCATTCCCTTTTCCTCCCCAACCACTGGGCTAAAGCGTGTGCAAAAGTACACAAAACTTACGGGTTTGTGTTGTTTTCGTGGTTTCAGCATGCAGAAAATTGATGAAATGCATATATTGTGTTCACAAAAAGTGTTATTTGGTCGTTTGCATGCCAGTAAAGTGGCTGTTCTCCACAGCACATGGGTGAAGCTTAAAATGTAGTCTTGACCAGCCAGTTTATATCCAGGATGTCAAGCCCCCAGCAGCCATGTCAGTACACGGTAACACACCTCTATACAAACCACAATTGATGCAGTTGCGTGTTTGCCACGGCATCACTGCTGGCAGTTGAGAGCGGATCACTGGCCCCAGAATTGTGATACGCTCTTGCCGCCATGCTGCACATATGCCTGCTATTGTTGCAAATATAGCGTCCTCAACAGCACCTCACAAAATAGGCAACCCTCGGAAAGCACAAGATAGGAGCTGGGTGAGGGAAGATCTGCAGTGAATGCGACTATCAGATGGCACAAGTAATTCTTGCACTCATTGGGTTGTTGCTGAGGATAAGTGACCTCCAAAAGGCCCATGGTGCCACAAAATAAGGAAAATGCTCGCCTTGCCCGCAAGTGCCTTGCGCAACTGCCTAGGCATTGGATCTTCGCCATTTGCCGTTTGGAAAATTCGATGAAAGGCGTCAAAAAAACCATTGATTCCACCAATGCAGACCACTGCCCCCCATTACCTGCGTGTGCATTGGCAAAGGCTTTCGACATGCTGCCCCACTCCTCTTGCTTCGTGTGGACACCACGCCACCACCTCGATATTGTAGCAGTGCTCGATCTTCAGGAGTGTGAATGTGCGCCGAGTTGGTGACCAGAATGGTGTCAATGATGACGGCACCATCCTTCAGGACAGTATCACCAAGCAGGACGCCGTCCCTTATCCAGGACGGCATCCACACACCCCTCCTAGCTGTCATCCCCCCGGACGCCATCCAGGATGGCGTCGGGGGGTATGACATCTAGGACCGGGGCGTGGACGCCGTCCTCATTAGCCAGGACTGCCATCCTGGCACCCCCTGGTGTGAACGTTTACCTGCACAGCTGGTGGAATGGTCCGCAATGTGTCCTGGATGCTAGGGCCTGGTCATGAAAATACCCCGTCCTACTAGTGCCAGGAGCATGGGAAGCGCTGGTAATTTTCACGTTGCCACGACAGTGACTGGTCCAGGAGTGACGGATGGTTGTGTGAGTAAAAAGGGACATGCCTGCCTCCGACATTGTTTTCCCCCAAGTCTATCGTATCAGCGTCACTCTTTGTACGAGCTTCACGAACCGTGAACACGTAACGCACACAAACACCAAATCCCCACCCGGACCCAGCCCACCAACGTCACTCTCAGCAGCTGCTTAGAGTGACGCGGACATGAATTGATGGTGTGACGTTGATGCTTTTCTGCTCACTAATCGTGAACTAAACCACCAAGTCCCCACAGTCATCAAACAATCACGTGACCCCCGGCGCTCCGCCGTGATGGCGATCCTCGCCAGCCCGCCAGCTGTGCTGCAGCGGCCGCCCTCTCCCCCTCACCTCGTAGACGTGTGACGAGGCCCTGCAGAGCAGCAACTCCGCCCGCCCACCCATACCCCACCCAGCCGCCCCCAACCCTCCAAACCTGCTCCGAATTCTCCTCCCCGCCCGCTGCACGTTCCCCAGCGGGGGGCCAGTCAGTCCCCGGTCCGCGAGCTCCTGATTTGAGTCCCGGGCAGCCCCGTGTTGCCACCGCGAACTACGCGCCCCCATCCCGCACCCCACCCCCCACCCCCACCCCATCACTACCCTCTCTCTTCCCAGCCCACACCATGGGCCGCCGATCGCCCTTCCCCGGGATTTGCATGGCCCTCGCCTGCCTCGGATTCATGTCGATCCCATGCGCGGCCGGTCCATGCGCGCTCGAGTTCGCAATCGACGCGGATGCCTCCCTGCTAAGCGCCGCCGGTGCCCTGTCGCCGGATCCGGGCGCCGGCGAATCGGATGCGGGCGATTCGATTTCCGATCCGATCGTCCTGGCCCCCGAGCCGCCCCGCTTGACAATCGGCGCCTCGGGGGGCCTGTCGCTGGCCTTCGAAGCGCCCGGCGACGCCGGCTGCCCGCTGACCGGGCCGGCGGTGGTCAACGCGCTGGTCAACACGGCCAGCGGGTCAGCCAACGTCTCGCTGGCCCACGCCCGCCCCTTGGCGGTCTATCCGGCTGTGCTGCCGTTCACCGGGCCCGTCAGGCTGGCCGGTGCCAGGTGGGGTTTGGCGGGCTGGGCCGTGGTGACGGACTCGGATTCGAGTTTGAATTTGAGCTCGGGGGCGGTTTTGGCGGGAAGGCTGGCGGCGGAGGCGGAGGGCGGGGCGGCTTGGGCGGGTGAGGGGTTCGAGCCGCCGGAGGGCGGGGGCGCGGAACTGGGAGGGGGAGGAGAGGGGGACCTGAGGATCACGCTGCAGGTAGGGGTGGGCAGGTGGCGCAACGTTATGGCGTTGTGTGGGCGTGTGGTGGCGTTGTCGAAGTACTGTGGGCGTGGTGGTCCACGCGTTGAGCATCACTTGAGCATCACTTGCACGACTGTGTGCAATTCGAAGCCATGATGACATGGACTGCTATGACCGAAATGGGCGCTTTATTGTTCAATCTATTTTGTTTTTCAATTATCTGCTACCGCTGTTCCAAAAGCAGTGGCCAATCTCAAATTCGCACAAGCGATGGTCAAAACGTGCGAGTCAGGAATGTGGACAGAACCAACTTCGACGAGCCATTCTTAGGAGCTATCCGTAGAGCTCTCAAACGTGGCAAACGACGCGGCCGCTCTTGAAGTATGTTAGGAGAAGCCAAAATGCGATTTGCGATTCGTAGGGACCTGGTGTGGGGCATGCCATGCTCCTCTTGCCTTTCAGAAGAGATTAGTCGAGCTGAACTATCACTGGGACAGACGCATCCTTTGGTGGTTTGGTTTGCACTAAAGATGCGACAGGATTCCCACACAATCTGTGAGGGAAAAGATCGGAGTTCAGCGCAAAGTTTGGGGAGTATATAGGAACCGCACGAAGATTGTGACCAAAGGCCAAGAAAGACCTGAATTAGTGCAGGAGCATCTATTGGCAGATGCTCGGGAGTTTAAAATGTCGCACGTAATGACGCCAACCAAAAAAACGGCTTAGATCAGGCAAACCGGGACAATCATTGAAAACCAGAATACTGCAATCATGCTTCAGCATACTGGAAGAGACAATTCACCAAGAATATGATAGTAACGATATCAAGCTCTTCAAAGGGCTTAGCAGTGCCAATTTGTTGTCTACAGCAAGGCTCTACATGATTGTTGTAGAAATGGGTCGGGACATACCAGAATCAGGTTCACATAACAATGTGGGGGCATGATGCTAGCATGGAACTAGACAGGGGCATTTCTGATAAGGCTGTGACTGCCGTGTTTTGTGACGATGACAAACACGATCAAGATACACATCAACCTTGAATCAGCCAAGGAATCCGAATCTGGTGAGGATTTGACTGATTGAGTAGACCTTGCTAGGTATAGCAAGAATTGGAAATTGGACATGGCTCCTGGAACAGAGGCAGTGTATACTTACTCTAAGGACAAAACATGCCAGAATACATGGTTTTGAAAATCGCGTAGTGTTTAGATCGTGTAAATTGACTCTAAGTCGGGTAAAATCGCGTACCGTTTGGATCGTGTAAATTGAATCTAAATCGGGTAAAATTCATGTTAAATCATGTGCTTGTCGTATAATAATGAGATCAAACCCTGTAGTAACCATTGAATGAGTGTACATGATTTTTGCACGTTTTCGCATGGTTATACACGATTTTACGTGGTTCGAGACCATGTATTGTGGTCGAGTTTAACCTGTGTTATTTGCTCATTGCCCGAATTCCCGATTCTTTGTGTTTCTTCGCCACGTGCCCCTGCAGGTATCCAACGAGACGGACATGGAATCGACTCTGCAACTGACGCTCGAGAACATCACGTTGTCTGGTCGAGCGTCGTTAAACGGCAGCAACGGAAGCCCCCAAGATTTGGAAATCCAATTTGCGGGGGACATCCACGCCCAGGTGAGGCGCATACAAGTGGAGTGCTGCAGAGCTAAGGGCGATGCTGGCATTTGATGCCGATGGACGGCAATTGCAGACAATAAATGGGGGCTGCTATGGGAAAAGCCGCCAAGCCTTTTCCATAGAGTAAAAGCAAATGTAATGCGGAAAATTTGGATGTCAGCAAGCTCAATTGTTGCGTTTATGGCTGAAAGGAATAACATAATTCACATACGTTTAATTAACGTTTAACTTAATTAACTTGTGTCTTCAAAGGTCCTGCTGCGAATCAACGGGGGCTTGATTGATGGCCCTCACCCTGAAATCTGCATGCAAGCTGAAAGCAATAGAAGCATGCAAATATTTTTCAAAATGACATTTAGCTGTCAATTGGACGAAACCAAATTGAATGTTCATTAGCTCATTCTTAATGACTGAAATCAAACATTATTTGTACACTGAGGACGTTCCAAATTCCTTGATGCTTAGGGCGTCGTTGGCTGCCCCGAGCCCTGCGGGTTGCATGGCAAGTGTGCCAAGAAGGAAGGCGTGGGACTGAAGTGTGACTGCGAGTGTGGGTGGACAGGTGCGGTGCCTATTCCACAAGCAAAAACTCATCCAAAATACACGATTTCAAACCGTGTGAAAATCGCGTACACTAATTCGATCGTTGCTACAGGCTATGGTCCCGTTTCGTTATGATAAATACACGATTAACACGATTTTCAATCGTGTTACGCCGTACACGATTTTCAAAATCGTTTATTTGGCCTGTTTTATACTAGTGTTCAGTGGAGCTGATCACTCATAGTGCATGATAAACAATGATTGGCTATCATTAATTGTTCACTATCTGCTCTACACTCGATCTACGCTCCACCCGCTGCCAGCTGATATTCTTTGCATAGCGTGGACAGACAGTCTGAGGCATTTTAGGATCCTAATTGCGTGCACAATACTTTGCAAGGTGATGCGTGTATCCATCAGCAGAAATGGGGCCCTGCCCACCCATGCAAAAGACATTTTGGCATGCTGCCTTGTGACTTGGGCATTGTTTGGTCAAGCTTCTGTATTGTACACTTTGAGCTTTGTTTGCGTGAATGGGAAGAGGCAAGCAGACTTTGGTAGGCAAGGCGCCAGTAATGATAACAAGTGCTAAGTAACTCACCCACCTTCCAGATCTGGCAACATCCTGTCCAGGCAGGATATTGGCAGAAATGTTCTTCCATCCAATGTGCACTTCCACCGTTCATGCGACGGATTAGATTCACCAGATTCTCTCACAGCTGTTTCTTGAGGCAACTCTGCGCAATCCATGCCACGCTTGGCATTTGCCAGTTCGCAGATGATTTGTCGTAGCTTGTGAAAGCAGCTGTTGATGGGCAGAATCTTCCAGGTCACCTTGATACAAGATGACACACATGGCATCAGAAACTCTGTGCTGTTGCCACTGTATTTGAGCACTTGTAAAAATGCCCGGCGAATTGATAAATTGAATTTTAAGGGAGACATTGCAGGCTCGAAGATGCACTGCTTGCAATTCGCAACTATTATATTTTGTTCTTTTGCAAATCCTTTATGCCCAGCCGTCCATGCTCAGTGCGGGAAAACCGTTTGAGACTTTCGTGTGCGTCTGAAATAGGAACGACTTGCGACCGGCCTGCCGGCTTCTGCCCAAGGTTTGTGGATGAGCTCGAAGGTGGGAAATGCGCATTCACAATCGATAAGATGATACTATTTACTACACGAAAGTGGCCCACATTACCACCATGGACAACACGATAAAGAACACGGCTTTACACGATTTCAGCCGTGCATCAGTGGCAGCCGTGTAGCTTGTGATGAGTGCACGATTGGTACACGATTTTCAGGACCATGTTCTTTGGTCGATTTTTCGCCACAATCTGCGTGCGCCACCGCACGGATTCGCATCAATAGAATCATGTCGAGCCTTGTGTACCACCATCCCAATGTCCTGCAATGGCTTGACATAAATTGTCAAAATGGAGTTTGACGATTGGTTTTGAAGCAGGGGAATGTGGGGAGCGTTTCCTGTTCGACCCTACCACACGCCAATGCAGCCTCTGCAAATCGGGATGGAAGGGGCCGGAATGCAGCCAATGCTTCAACGACGAAGTTTGCCAGGTGGGCGGCATGTTTCAATTTCCTGCAACAATTTCAAAGTAATGTGTACCACAAATGACACAGCCATTGTGACGTTTGTTCTAGCGAATTGTCTATTGCTTTTGCACAACTACTATTTAGTAGTACTACAATAGTACCCGGTATACAGAATTATACCTTGTATAATGTGATATTAGATTTAATCCTACTTACATTAGACTCAACTGAAGATTTCGAGGAAAACTGGTACGAGCACATACTGTGAAGGACTGGGCTTTAGATGACTTCCTCGCAGAAAAGGTTAGTGTAAGCAATGCACTACGAATAAACAACATAAAACATACAAAATATTGTATACACAATGTCGATCTGTGCAGTTTTTAGAGACAGTCAGAACCGTTTGTGAATTTTCTTCAAATGGGACCGGAAAGTGTGCTGGCCTTTCTTCATCCCTGCCTGCAGTGCTTTGTACACAGTGTAAGCGCCACTGTGCAGAGGACTAAATTGGGTGATCGCAGCTCGAGCTGTCCACATCATTGCGTCTTGAGGTTTCAAACATTGCGCAACGTGTAATCGCGCGATCAAACGGGGTGGGAAAGATGAGCATTCCACAACACTGAAGAGCCCCCTCCTCCCACCCCCCCTTTTCTTCTCTGAAGAAAACCAAAGTGGTTGTTTGCCTGATTTTGATTCAGCTATTGTATATTTAGGATGTATCATAAATGGCACATACCATCCATCAGGCTGCAGCACAATGATGTTCGACTGTTCCAAAGCGCACTGCGTCCCTCACGGAACTCAGCAGCGAAGTTCAAACGCGCGCCAGAAAAGCACACGAACACTCACGAGGCGCGCGGTGCACTGCACAACCCCGCCTTGTGCAAAGCGCAACACAATAAGGCGTTATGTACTGCGACATATGTGCCACCGCGTTGCGACTTACGTACTGCAGAATTGTGGCCTTAACCGCACGCAGCCGTCGCTCAGGGCATGAAATTAGTCGCTCTGTTTTTGTGGTGAAGATCCCTTCTTGCTACAACACCCTACATCCTAAACCACTGACCCACTGTCCCACTGACCCACTGACCCACTGACCCACTGACCCACTGACCCACTGACCCAATGGCCCACCGACCCACTGGCCCACTGGCCCACTGACCCACGTTGGACTTGCCAACGGAAGCAGAAGGCATCCTCATGGAAAAGACAGGGAGATTTCCGTAGCTTTTCAAACCCTTCCGCACCGGAAAATTGTGCCGTTGAGCTTTTTGCTCTGCATTTTTTTTCCGAGCGTTGTTATTATTTGTTCGCCTTGCTCCACCAAAACGTTCTATTTAAGAACGTTACAAGGCTGGATATCCATGCGCGCTGCACATGTGCGATCCTCTGAATAACCCGGTGGCGTGGCGTTGTGCTGTTGGGGGCAGACTGCGCATATGTTGTTGACGGCTATGAGGGAATGCAGATGTAGAATGCGTGCATTCTATTTGGGCGTTGTGCCCAAATAGAAATTGTCCTTGAGGCTTTGGGAGTCAGTTGGGTGCAAGCGATTTTGACAAACATGTTGAACCACAATAAAATGCAGTCAAATGAACTTGGTCTGTTGGGGTCAAGCTATGCTCAGCAATCAACAGTTGTGTGAAGTCGTGCAACAGTTAGTGGACAATTTGATTCACTGATTGTTGCAGCGATCTGTGCACCAGTCGGTGCGTATTCTTTGCACCAGTTGGTAAGCCAATCGGTGCATTGAGTGTAGGGTGGCAGTGATGGCAGGTTTTGTTCCTGAAATCCAATAACCTGGACTGAATTTTCCAAGTTCAAGTCAAGAGCACGTAGGAAACGATGTGCAGCCAATCGATGGGCGAGCGGCCTTGAGTGTTCTGCAATTGGCCTTTATAACGCTTGCCTTCGCAGCTGACACAATGTGTCAAAGCCCGTTCTGTACGAAAATAGTGTGGAAAATTTGTGGATTGGTAAGAGGAGAGAGCCCACAGAGAACAGTCCTCTTTCCCGTTGACAACCACGTTTCATCCGCCGTGTGCAGAGAGGAGCGCACAGCAGAGGTAGCAAGGGAGAACAAATTGCGTTTTCCCATTAATTTTGACGGATTTTGTTTCCGTTCGTTATTTGTCGTTTTATGGCTTAGATTTTTTGTTGGTTTTTTCACCCACACCGATCCGTTCCGGAACGCGAGCGGAGGCCCAGGCACGAGCGCGTTCGAGGGCGCCTGCATGGAGCTGTTTGCGCCAGGAGGTCCGCGGGCGAGGCCCAAGCCAGGGGAGCCCAGGTGCAGGCCGCAGCCGGCTTGGTTGCCCTGCGATTGGTTGCAGATTGACCGGTGCCGTAGGCACACGATCTCGGTGGCCAGGCCGGTTGCGTTCATATCCACTGCGCTGGGCACAAATGAATGCTGAAGGCGGCCCCCAAGCGCGGGCGTGGTGCCTCTCACGGGGCCACACAGGGCAGCCACGACGCCCTTGATTGGCACCCTGAACAGATGCGGGTGGGGCGGCCCGTGATGCCGCTCGCCGCCAGCTCGATTGGCAGGCGAGTGGCGGGCGCGATGGCAGGCAAACACCACAGCAACTCGCTGGCGCTTGGCCGCAACAAAGCGTTTGAAATGGTGGGGCAGGAGCAGGGGGGAGAAGGGACGAAGGGGGGAGGGGGGGCACCAAGAATTGTTTGATCGCCACCTCCGCCTGGCGGCAGGCAACCGCAAGGTCCTGGTCGGGTATTGGTCAGGGTCGCGTTGTTGGGCAGGGAGGGGATGGTGGCAACGAGAACGCCTGCTGTGGCGTTCTTGCTTCTGCAAACACTGGCGTTTTCGCGGACGCTGGCAATCCCTGGCAGGGCGTTGTTCACGGAAAGACAAAGGGACCCACAATGACAGTGGGACACGGGGATTGTTCCTTTGGAAACGCAGAGGCTGCGGAGAGGCAGGCTGCACCTTCAAAGGTGCAGCCGCTTGCCTGGCCAGCCATTGGCGCATAGTGGGCGGGCCTGCTGGTCGATCCCCGGCGCTCAGGGCTAGTTGCATCGTTGCAATCGCCTTCTGTTGATCATGTTCTAATCCTTCGATCCGAGCCATCCAGCAGCGGCCTGTCCGCCAGGCTTGACGGGTGAGTTTTCTGCGGTGCAGCGGGGTAGCGGCGCGGGGCCGGGAGCGGATGGCGGCAGCCGCCATTATGGATCGCCCGATGCGAGCACTTGCCCCTGGTGGCCAAACAGAAACAGAAAGAGGCATGCAGAGATGCATCGCCTCCATTCCCTTGGCCACGCGGCGCGGAGTCTTCACGCCCCGCGCACGGTTGGGCAAGAGAACATCGGCGCCGGTGTCAGGTCCAGCCGCGTCCGCATCAAGGCACTCCATATTTGCCACCGCGCCCAAGTCGCGGTCCGCGCGGCCAGTGTATGGCTCCTGCTTATCACCTGCCCTCTCGCTGGTAGCGAACATGTCGGCGTACGTGTGGTGCTGGGTTAGGGAGGGGTGATGCATGGAAAGGGTGTCGCTGGGTGGGGCCGGTGGCCGAGACAACGTGGATGCGGTGGCGGTGGTGGGTCGGCGGTTGGGTGGTTGGGGGGGGCCCATTTCCACACCGTGACGCGCGAGGAGCAAGTCAGGGGCCAGGATCACGACTCGCGCCGCGAAAGGAGTTGCTCGCACGCCTTCCACGTTTTGACGCAACAACAGACTTGGAACAGGCCTTTCCCTTCGCAAGTGCCGCGAGCCCCCGCAGCCCGCCTGCACGACTGCAGCACGACTGCACCCCTGCATTTCGCAACCCCATCCGTCGTGGTCGTTGCAGCCTCGAGTTTGGAGCCTCGCAGGTCCAAACTCCGTGGCTGTTCCGCTGGCCGTTCATCTAGCCGTCGCTCCGGCTGGCCCCCTCGCGTGGAGGTGTGGGTGCGTCCCTTGCAAGTTTTGTCATTGGCGAGGTCCAGTCGTGCAGCAGTGGCAAACACGGGTGCCCATTCCTATCGCTGAGGAATGATAGCTGCAGGGCGCGGTGACGCGCCGCTCTCTGCTGTGGCGCCGTACCTCGCTGCACCGCGCTGTGCCGCAGTTTCCAAGCCCGGCTGCCTCTTGTTCCTCCGGCTATCGCTCTCGTGGCCCTTTGGTCCGTTCAGGGCCAGTTTGTCATGGGCGGCGGCCAAGAATCTTGGACCTCGCCGCGCTGGCGACGTCAGGTCGCTTGGCTCCCGCCGCGACGTGCGATTTCCTGCGAGCGCCGGCAAACCTCGCTCGGCAGCCAGGCTGAGAGATGCCAATCGCCACGACAAAAAGTTTGCTTTTTCTCCCATGCGCCCGCAGCCAGAGTGGCGAGGCGTGCGTGGTGGGACGGCGACGCACTTTGGAGAATCCATTACAAGGGGTGGCTGTCGATGCGGCAAGGCATACAATTATTGGCTGCACCAAATCGGTGACTGCCTCCAAAACTTACCTAGCCTGAAACCTAAACCTACACCTAACCTAAAACCTAAACCTAACCCCAAAACTCACCCTAAAACTAAACACAACCCTAAACTGCGGTTAGGACATAGTGTGCATGTGATTTGAAGCAAGCAGTCACCGATTTGGTGCAGGCAGTAATATTATTTCATGCGACAAGGGGCTGCGACAGTGCTTTGCAGTAGTACCGCATGCACGCATGTCTGACTTGCTGGGTGAATAGTTTAAATACCGCCGGGTTAATCTATTTCACTGTTTCTCCTCAAAAAAGTTCAAGCGTTACGTTGCTATGCAGAAGGGCTTGAAAACTTAAGGTAATGTATTCTCGTCGTCCAGGGTCTCCTTGGGACGGACCGTGCCACGTGTCGTGATGATCTCGACTACCTCGAGAGATCAACCTCGAAAGTCTACAGCTGCGAGCTCAAGCGGCCACTGGACACCCTCTTTGCGCCAGTGGTGGCCCTGGGATGCGTCAAGGGGATGGACACCGAATCCAGTGAGCATTCACCAAATGCAGTAAAAAAGAGGAATATGATAGAACAAATATGGCCAAAATGTGGTGGCAAACAACGATTAGCTGAAGTGGTTGAAAAATGGATGGATACGGAAGGACATGCGCAGTCGCCGAACGCATGCAGTTGGACGTGGTGGGACAGACACAGGCAGGAATGCGGCCATTTGTGCAAGTCAAGATATTGCATTGGTCGTTCTAATTGATGAAAATCCGGCATTATTTAGGCAAAGCCCGATTAAAGCGGAATGCATTAAAGTGGACGCTAATTGGGCCGCCTTGAAATGGAAGCTTGGATTTCTCACGCTGAAATGCACTATGTGGAAAGTGTGGTTGATGGACCTCGTTGAGAACGGACTTTAAACAGTTGTAAATCGGTGGTTTGAAGTATAGTATTTTGTATATCCATACGTTCTTACATTCCCGTTTACTTGTGTTTCTTAGGCACATGCTTGGTGACTTCTGCACCACTGAATATGCCCTGCGATCCTTCTATGTATGCTTTTGAGGCTGCTTTTATGGACATCGTAGTTGCACGTGTTTTTGCTGCACTCAATCCTGATTTAAATGTGTTAAAAACACTACCATTGGTTGTTGAGCACTTCCGTATAGTAAAAAAGCATTTGGTCGTCTTTTACATAGAAAACAATAAATAAATGACGTTCTTTTAATAGAAGTTTTTCGGAGCAACATGAAAAATAGAAGTAAAGCTCTCAAAAGCAGAATGCGGAGTAAAAACGCAACACTAAAGTTTCCCATGCGGAAAGGCTTAAAAGCCAACATTATGGATCTACGCTCAGGCAGAACGCCATGTGATGCAATGATCTTACGTTGCCGCAGACTTCCAGCTTCCCGAGGGTACGAACAGGAGCGACCTTCCAGAGTCCTTCTGCCAGATGGTGGCGACGCTGAACGGCGACCAGCGCGTGCATTGCCTGGTGGCCCCATGCACCTTCTCGCTGTCTTCCTTGAGCATACAGTGCGGTGGCGGGGAGTGCGTGTGCGATGGCGGCTGCGTGGAAGGTGAGAAGAATCTGGATCCAATCTGCGCTGATGTGCATGGCTCAATGTTCAAAATTAATTGTGAACCATATACAACATTGTATGTGGAACACGAGAAGCCAGTGCGTCAATCAAATCATGTGCGTGATGCATAGTGGGTTGTATGTATACATCAGTGGAAAGCACCAGTTTTTGCACTGCCGTTTGACGCCATTCGGCATGAATTGGTTCAGTCACAGCTGCTTTGATGCCGTCACGATCACTGTGGTGGCGCCACTTAGTGTGGAGATGGCCGCGCGGTTGGCATTGGATCAATGGTGTTTCTTCCAGCTATTCGTCACACATGCATGTACGTTCTGTACTTCATAAGCACATGTGGGTATAATACATATGCTCACACGTGCTTAAGGGAATTCTTCCGATGCATACACTTGAGCATGTGAGAACACAGGCATCATATGATATGCATATATTCATGGTTATACATGAAGATAACGAGATGCTCTATTCGGAGCGAAAAATGGATGCAGTGGTCGCTGTGTAGCCAAGGCATTAACCAGCGCACATATGCACAGTGCTCCGTCTTTCACTGAAGGGACATTCAATGGGAGCACCTGTTCGGCTGTTAGTGGGAAATGGCGCCGCAATTGGCTCATCGCATCCGTCTTGCGGAGCTCAAGGCATGATTATTGAGACAGGGCATCTCAAGAATCGAATTGAACCAACACTGGAAGAAAAAACAAGTCGAATCTATAGCTTTGAAATGCATGCAAGCTTGAATTCGACTGGAAACTATCGTGGTCGGTGGCGCGACGCAGGGGTGTCTGGCGCCCTGGCCCAAGGCACCACCAACGCGGATCTGGAGTGCGAGGAAGATGGGGCGTGCGTTCTGAAATTGGGGGGCCTGCCGTTTCCAATTTCAGCGGCATGCAGCGCAGCGGAGTGCTACGACCCTTTGGCGGAGATCACCATCAGCGGAATCGGTGCGCTGTGCATAATTCCATCATGTGACATAATATTACTTCCTCCGTCCCAAATTAACTTGCAGTTATGATCCGTGGCCCTGGGAAACTCACTGAAACATCTCGGAGTTTTACCAAAATTGGTCAGAATGTTTTAATTTACGTCTAGTATGTTGTGTCGAATTTTTGGGTCAGTCGGTATAGTAGTTATTCTGCAATACCGTTTCGAATGGACGCTTTTTTTTTCTAAAAGTGACCCCCCGTTTTTCAAAGTGGCAGCGAAACCGCCGTTTTCAGGCGCTGGGACCATCCCACATTGAAGTGGCCCCCACAGCGCGAAGCAGCGAGAGTCGGAGGCGTTCTTCAGACTGCAGGTCGGAGCGGAGATACAGAGGCGTAGGGCAGGCCGCCAGCGTGTGTACACCGAAAGGCATGATCGAAGATTTCACCCATAAACTCGAGACTTTGTGGCGAATAGTTGAGACCATCGGTAAGAAATTCTAGAATGTGATCGAGGATCCCGCAGGAATGAATTTGTCCTGCCAACGGCAAGGGAACTGCGGCCGTCCCAAGATATTGCAAGAGCAAGTTGCAGCGAAGATTGAAAAGTTCACAGCCGGCGCACAATTCGTGGAATGGCGATGGATGCCCAGATCCCGAAATCAAATGTGCATCAAGTTCTAAGGAAAATGGGATGCAAGAATGCTCAAAGATGGATCAAGCCACTTTTGAACAAGAAGCAAAGACTGGCTCGAGTGCACTGGGCGGTTAACCATATGTTATGGATTGTGGAAATGCCCATTTGAATGATACGCTGCGTGTGGTTCACGTCGGCAAAAAGTGCTTTTATGCCATGAAGGACGGGTCAAGGGTAAGGCTGCTGCCATCAGAAGACTGGATCTCACCTCCTCAAACCCAAAACAAGGACTATATTCCAAAGATGATGTTCATCATAGCTGTGGCTTGCCCACAAAAGTGCCTAGATGCGACTTGGTTCAGTGGGCTTGTGGGCATCTGTCCTTTTGTGGAGACGGTCCTCGCCCAGTGCTCGTCAAAAAATAGGCCCCATGGAGCCCCAGAGATGAAGCCTATCAGTGTTGCAGGAGAAGTGTTTTCTCATATATAATCAACAAGGTCTTACCAGCAGCATGCAAGCAGTTTTGGCACACCGAGACCTTAGTGTTGATCCAATTAGATAGACCCTGGCCCCACTGGAAGGCCTCAATACAACCTGAGCTTGAGGCCGCTCTGCACTCTGAAGGTTTTAAGATCAAGCTCGTTCAATAGCCTAGAAACAACCCAGACTTGAATGTTCTAGATCTTAAGTTTTTTAGTAGTTTGCAGCGATCCTTTGACAGAATTCGTTCTGGAGGATCGATTGAAGACATCATGTCAAACAAAATGTAAGCTTTCGAAAGCCACTCTTGGGAGATGTTGGAGTGCACTTGGAGGTCGCTCTTTGCAGTTATGGCTCGCACACTTACTGAGGAAGGCGGCAACGTCTTTGACTTGCCACACGTTGGCAAGGAGGCTGAGAGGAACGCCTGAGAGCTCATGTGGGAGGTTCTTGTGCTGAGCAAATTGTTGACAAATTTGTCCACAATGACATGCATTTAAACGCAACCCAATTGTTGAGAGATGCTGACAAGGATTGAGAAGTCATTCTGGTGGCGGCTATAGTTGGTTCCCAAAGATTTGGCATGTGGTCTTAGTGTATCTAAAATTATTTTATACATTGGAAGAAGTTTTAATCCTGATTTTTCTTGTTTTCTGTAATTGCAATTTAGTTTGGGATGAAGGAAGTACATCATTAATGTCGTATCATCATTCATATCGACATTAACATTGGATCTGCAATGTTTTAGGAACAAATGCTTTTGAATATTCTTTAAACTCTTTTAATGAAGAGAAAGCGGATGGCAGAAAGAAGATTGCCCATGCAATTTGTGCATGGTGTTATGATGGTCATTTACTGAATGAGGGAAAAATAGGCTGTGAAGGGTCTTGGCTGAATTGCAATGGAAATGCCATAGTATATTCAACCCTTCTGCATAGTAATGGAATGTTGGGCACCTTGGGGGGAGAAAAGTTAAGCAATAACAACATAAAGTTTGGACATTTTTTGGGAAGTAACGTAAAAGAAATAAAACTAACGCTCTGAAAAAAATATGGAGCAAAAAGTGCAATAATATTTTTGTCTGATGTAGAAGGGTTGAATATTTTATGGTATTGCATGTTGTAATGTGCGCGAAGTCCATGTTTACTACCAAGGGGCGCGTTGGAAGCCGCCCCAACCGATGCCAAGCGAATTCGCTCCTGATGTAGAGATCAACAACCCAGATTGGGCATTGAACACAGCAAAGACGCTTTCGAGAGCAATTCTGTCGGTGATGACAACTGCATCACGTCACTTCTCTCGCCAGGTTCTCGTGTGCTTGTGGCAAGTGGCTTGTTTATGTCTGCACCAATCTTTTGGGCAACCAGGTTACTGCTTTTGTTGATGATGATGGTGGTGACGATGATGAGGCTCCATTAATGAAATCATGAATATGAAGATGATGAAATTGCGCAGTGTAACAAACAGAACCATGACGCCATGCCAACAGTGTGTCACAAATAAGTACTAGTTCAGGATCCTAGTGGCCTTTACAGCCGAATTGTAATTCGCAACTCCAATGTTCCCTGCGCTCTAGAAGAGGAAACTGATTTCAAATTGACAAGTCATCAAATTCAGAATGCGGCAGACCCAATTTCCGCTTCCAAAACAGTGGGATTGGCAATTCTATGTCAAGTTGGATAAACTGAGTGAGCATGGCGTCCAGCATTGCCGGTCGAATGCTTTGCCTCACTCTATTTTCAACCTTCGTCTAATTTTCTTCCAGAAACATATTCCTGATCTAATAAATCTCATAGTACATCCTTGAAAGCAAATCAACAAGTTTGCGTGCCTTTCGTGAACACAGGCAATGGGGAATCAGACGGCGGTTGGAATTCCGACCTGTTTGTCGCATCTATTCCGATCTCCGTCGCCCTGGCCGCCGCTCTGGCGCTCTCCCTGCCCGCCTTTGCCTTCCACCAGCGTTTGTGCCACCTTCCGACCGACCACCAGGCGACGTCGTCCATGAACGTGGATGTCGGAACCATGCACAAATTTGGCCTCAGGTGATTCGCCCTTCAATTATATTTGGTTGGTTTCTCAACTTTGCCTTTAGTTCTTTTTCTGGGGTGGAAGGCTTCGTGCCACATGTGTCAGCTTAGCTGTTGCCCCGATCTTGGCAAGGGATTGTCGTTGGAAGTGGTCATTGACTATCGTAAGCTGGTTCATCATGATGCGTTGCCAATCTCGCACAGAGCACAGACTCTATGCTCGTGGGGACTATGAACGCAGCATGATGAACCAACCTCCGACATGCAGAGCACAATCATATAAAAACGCCATGCTCTGTGCTTGATATTTGGTTGTGCTCTGCATGAGGGACTTCTTTCCATTTCCGAATGCACAGGTGTACATTGTGCATCCACGCACACTCTTGCACACTGTACAAGGAATTATAATACATGTAGTTCGCGTGCTTTCTACAAAAGTTCTATGCAGTGGGGATGAATGACACTGCACACAGCAATTGTGTGATTTGCACCGTGCGCAATTCAAGTGAAACATTTCCTTGACCGTTGCAATACAATACCACCCCCGAAGTGCTGGGCTCACAACAACGGGGTTTGTACGCCTTTCTTTCCGAAACATAGCAGTTCTGTCACTACCGGTTCCAAACTTTCATGCTTGTGAAAGCACGCAAATGCGCAATGCATGCAATTGCCGCGGAGAATCATAAGAGTTTTTGTGCCCGCTTTGACGAAATCTGTGAGAAGGAGCGTCTGCCGTTCTTCCACTTGCCGCTTTGCCGCCATTAATTTATGAATTTCCTTCGCTATTTTTTGTGAGCAGTTTCTCCAATCTCTTCTGCGCTGTTCCTGTGGGCAATCGCGAACATGCTGGCGGCGGTAGTGGCAGGTGTGGTGGCGGAATGTGGACGCACAGGAAGGAAAAAGCAAGAGAGATATTGAAACCACTCTCTGGGAAAAATGACGAACAAGTTTTGGTGCTTTATGGGTATTTGTTTGTGTCCCATTCTTGTTGCTGAAGGAGAGTTGATTGGAGAATGTTGTTTCGAATGGATGATATGCGGTGATAAGTTCTCCCGGGAACAAACTTATCACCAACTCTCAACGTTGAGTTGGGCTTAAACTCGTTTGCATGTATGGTCCTATGTATGAAGACGATCTTGAGCCTGACTCACAATAAACGTTATCTTTTTCCATTTTAGAATGCATATAATAATCCTGAAGTTCAACATTACATATCATGAAAATGCACATATAAATGCCCATGCAAAAAGCAAGTAAGAAATAAAGAAATGTATAAACTGGTAAATGTACATGTTAGCATTTGGTTGAACGCCAATTAGCCAGCAAATTTCTTTAAGCGGTCGACAGCCATCAGTTGTTAGAAGCGAAATGCAAGTGTTACTTGCTTATTGTCTTATACTTTTGATTCACCTATTTTTCAACATATTGATTACAGAATGCAAGCGCTTTGATGCCATCCACATATGTGCAGGGGGGAGCAATACCGAAACGGTGCGGCAGTGGAGACTGGCGGTGTGGAGCCAATGGAGGCTCCCAAGGGGTACAAGTCCGTCCTCAAGGTAAGAGATTGATCTTCGGATTTTCATTATTCTGTTGGAACACAAAATTAATTGTTCAGGCATGACCTATTGCTGCTGATCCTATTGATGCGTTGATTCATCTGTGGCGTCATTCTAACCTTGGGAGATGCAATGTTGCATCTGACGCCAGTGTTACACCATGTGATGCTCGCACGGTAATAGCAGTATGGTGCAAACTTTCCTAAAATGTCCCACACACAATGCCATTCAACCCTTGTGAATTTCTTATTGGTTCAATATCAATCGCTGCATGTTCATTACAATGGCATGAATACAGTAAAGCAGTATGCCAATAACAAAAGATAGAACATAATATGTCAATAAGTATAGGAATCTTTCAAGAAAAATGGGTATAATAATTTAGACTTTTTGTATGCTTTGCTGTACTGTCTTATTCTGAAAGGGAAGCTTCACATTAGTTTCTATCATGGTAACGACGTAACAAGATATGGTTATTTAAATATGACTTGAATACTGATCGCTTGCTTTTGCCGAATGTCCAGGGTCTCGACGGCGCTTTCACCTACAGGGAACTCGTGGCCATCATGGGCCCCTCGGGCGCGGGCAAGACCACCCTGCTGTCCGCCCTGTCCGGCATGTCCGTGCGCGGACAGTCCGTCCAGATGCTGGACGGACACGTGTTGGTCAACGGCCGGCGACGTGGTCCGTGGGTCAGCTCAGTCATGGCGTTCGTGCCTCAGGACGACCTCCTGATGCAGTCGCTGACGGCGCGGGAGTGCCTGACGTATTCGGCGGTCCTGCGGGCGTCCAGAGAAACCGAAATGAAGAAGGTAGTTGTTTTGAAGGACTCCATGCAGAGAGGCCTTGAGCCTGGTGCTCCTTGCAAGACGCAAGCAATCATTCCTTGCATCAACTCTGTGCCGGTCCAACGCCTGGAATGTGCAGTTATTGTGGATCGTTTGCAATAGGGAATTCTAGTCCAGAATAATCTAAGATCATTTTGGCAGTGGATGCTGTTGTCAAGATCACTGTGTCGCTTGTTCATGTTGAGTGCAAAGATGCGCGATACCCAGTGTTCGTTGATATGAGAAAAATTGCCTGATGTTCAGTAGTTCTTGAGTGCAAGAATTCGTTCATGCAGCTCATCCCTGTGCATAAATGTCCATTCTCCTTAGTTTGCATTTGCATGTCTGTGACAATTGAAACGCCACCGGAATGGATCACGAACTTATTCAATAAACTCCGTTTTCTAATACATGAACAAGCAGCGTTGATACATTTGCCACCATGCTAACAAACTACAGTGGTACGTGCATTCCCAGTCAATAGTGTCCATTTCTCAAATAGCATTTTCAAACCATTCCCTTGAGCGCAGCCCCAACCCCCCCCTCCCGCGTGCTCAGATCAACCAGCGCGTCCTGGCCACCATCTCCGAGCTCGGCCTTGAGCGCGTGGCCAACAGCCAAGTCGGCGGCGGCCGCAAGCGGCTGTCCATCAGCGGCGGCGAGCGGCGGCGAGTCACGATCGGCATGGAGCTGGTGACCAAGCCGCGGATCGTCCTCATGGACGAGCCCACGTCGGGACTGGACAGCTCCACGGCCCTGTCGCTGGTCACCAGCCTGAAGGCCGTCAGCTGCCACGGCCGGCTCGTGGTGCTGTCCATACACCAGCCGTCACAGGTGGGCGAGTGGGGAATGTGCGCGGCCAGCAGCTGTTTGCTTTTTTTTGAACCATTAGTAGAACTATAAACGCAATGCATTTGCAATATCGCGAATGTACTACGAAACCAAAACACAACGTTTCATTTTGCAGTACATTCGCAATATTACCTGGTAGTCGGCAGTGCCTATGAAAAGAAGAGATGTGATGGGCTTTGGAAAATGCGCCCTGCTTTAGGCAATGTCCCACAATGAACATCACTTTCAAAAGATCAGCGCTGTTAGCAGTGCCAGTATGATCAACGAATCATCAACATTACCGATGAAATGTAAGACAAAAGTACACATAGCATTCTGAGATACGCATTGATTTGTGACATTTCGGCAGCATGCCGAAGGCGTGGTGTGTAGTGTGAACCTTGATACAAAGAAACACTTGCATGTGTCGTTGCAATACTCTTCAAATCTCTATATAAGCTACGCTTTCGCCTGAAACCACCAACTGCTATTGTGTGAAAACATAAGCAAGAAATACTACAACGCCATTTCGCCAGCATGCGCTGTTTTCGTCGTAAGAGGTATGTAGAGCAGTGCAAATGCTGTGGTTGTCGCGGGTGGAGCGCTGTTTAGTGTGGACGGAAGCAGTTGTTCAGATGCAGGCTTATTATCATTTTTAATTAGGTTACCGTCCAGCGCTTTCAAATACCTAGCACGCCCACAGCTGGAGTCTCATTGCTGCTTGGCACGGCCAGCACTGTCCAGATACTGAAACTTCGACAAGAGATGGCACAGAAACACTCTCGATGTATTATGCATTGTAGTCCTCGTGGCTGAGAAGCATTATAACAATATATCGCATTTGCGGAATGCGCGAACCACAAAGCGGGCCTATTTCGAGAATGATCCTAACTACGGTGATCCCTGCGTCTTGAAACAGTGCTGCATTAATCATACTGCTACAATGTGCGCTTCTTTGGCACGCATACCTAAACTGTGCACTGAAGCTTGTCATGTGCAGCAACAGCCATAGTACGCACACACGCTTGGACTAAACATCTGATGCTCATCGTGTGTCTGTGCAATTTTTGTGATCGTGCGATTGCGCGCCTGCCGCGCAGACCATTTTTTCCCTCTTCGACAGGGTCATGTTCCTGGCAAGAGGCTTTCAAATCTACCTGGGCCCGCCCTCCGGGGTCTCGGCCTTCCTTTCCGAACGACACCTCCCGACACCTCCAGACACATCCGCCGCGGAACACATGATTGAGTCCATCAGTGACGACACCATCCTGTCGAAGCTTCTGGAATGGGTCCGCGCCGACCAGAAGCGCGAGGAAGCCCAGAGGACTGGCGGTGAGTCCGCGGAGGGCGGCACCAGCGGAGACGAGCCTTCCATGGCGGCCGAGGAGGTGAGGGCTGGAAACGGTGACCCGTTATATGTTCGGTGATGGCACTAACTCATTCTCTCATGACATATTGACAATAACTCATTTGTGTACTTTACTCGAATTGGCTAGTGGGTTTGCATTAATATATGCAGGTAACCTGTTCCTAAATGACACGCGGCTTTCAGCACCCTCAGATTTCCTATTGTGGTTTGTTGCTGTATCACGCTACCTCTGTTTCTTTATATTTACAATATGCGTTTGTGCCTATTTATGTAGAGAACACACAAAATTTTGTACTTTAAAGGACCGAAATCTGCATGTACCGATATGCGAGCACAAGACTGCGGTTGTGCGAAACAGCTTTGCTGTTCCAGTGCAGCGCGCGGGGTCTCTGACCTTGCCCATGTGACTGGCAAGAGTGGATTTTCTATTATCTGTACTGTTGCATGAGCTCAAACGTTTTCCAATGCGCTAGACGGACACAAACGGCACCCCCACCCCCCAACCCCCAACCCCACCCCTGAAATACTGGTAGGAAAGGAAGGTCTCGCCTCGTTACTTTGTATTGCCATCTTAACCCACCCCACGCACCCACCCCTCTCCCCTTGGCATCGATCCTTATTTCGATGCCAGTATGACTCAGAAATTATATATATGCATTATCTAACAATGTAATGCAACTTCAAAACACTTCAAGGGGACAAACGCGGCCAACATTGTAGCAATTGTGGTGATTTGAAAAATGGGATGCCAAAGCGATGATGGGCGATTAGAGCAGCCCAAAAGACTCAAAATTGATCCATTCTGAGTAGATTGAATGTCTGAGGGAAGTTTCGCATCAAGCTGTGAGCTGTTTGCCGATGATCAATGTCATTTTGTTGCACCTCCCTACCTTGCTTTGACTTTTGTGCAATTTCTGCACTTCCCCCCCCCCCCTTCCCTTTACGCCTATGTGGAATTGAGTGTAACAAAGTTGACTAATCTTTTCTCTGAGAATTAGCATGTTAAATAGAAGTACCTGCATACAATTACAAGCAAGTTTGCTTTCACCACTGTTCCTGAATGGCTGCTCAACACCCGCTTGGAACGCAACAAATTTCACGCAGTCGTGACCTTGTCGATGGGATTGGCAGGTGTGGGTCTCCCGGCGCCGGTCTTCGTCCCTGTCTGTTTTGTTCTGGAGGGGCTTCGTTGACATCTGCAGGAATCCCTCCCTGCTGCTGGCTCACCTGTGCACGTCGGTGTTCATCGGCCTGGGCCTGGGGGCAGTGTACTACGACCTCAACTTGGAATTCTCAGGTGGGCCACGGCGGCGTCAGAAGCACGTCTTTTTCCGGACGTGCAGTGAGGCAAGACTGCAGAATGGAAAATGAAAATGCTCTGCCATTTGCGCAGTCTTATCTGTTCTTGGTAAAAATTAGGGAACACCTACTAAAGCTACATATGATGCCCTGGACGAGAGTCCAAGAAAAATATTGTAGATTCGATTTAAATTTGGTCTCACAAACAAATGTGCTCACTTTAAACCTAGACAGAGCAAGCATGTTTTTGGCCGTGACCTTCAGTTGCATTTCGGCATTTTCAGGCGCCCAGAGCCGCTTTGGCGGCTTCTTCTTCGTGCTGGCCTTCATGTCCTTCACCGCCGCCACCATCGTGGACACCGTCCACGCCGAGCAGCTGGTGGTCATGCGCGAGGTCAAGGCCGGCTACTACTCCCTCTCGTCGTACGTGCTGACCAGGTCCCTGCTGGACGCCGTCCTGCTGAGGGCGCTGCCGGCGGTCATCCTCTGCACGCCCATGTACTTCATGATGGGGCTGCAGGTGCGGCAGGCCTCTCAGACGAACTGCCCAAGTTACGGGAGAGGAATTTGAAAATGGCAATCACCGATCCTTCGTTCGGCGAGTGACTCTGCGCATGTTTTTCGGTGATGAACTGACGCCAGTCACTCCTTGGGGAAAAATGGTAAAGGTAGAGCACAAGTGTTGCACCGATCGTACGCTATGCTTATCTCTACATTAGGCATGAAAGAAGAGCGGTGCAACCAACCCTGTAGCTGGCTGGACCGCTTTCCTGAATGTCCGTTGACTTTTGGAAAACAAAACGCCACACTTGACGCCTCGCTCTATGCTTTACCCCCCTATTGGCTCCGATGCAGATACGATAATTCGGCCAGAATGTCACTTGGCCAAATTGCCACTGACCCGTTTGCCCGCCATCTAGCGCATGCTTTCTTTCCTTTCATATTTCTTGTCCTGTGCGCTCGCCGTTTTGCCTGAGGGAATGTACACCATCGTTCCCTAGCTTGGAAAAGAGTCCCACAAACACTCACTCAGTCTTTGTGTGGGACTTGCTTATCTCTCGGACTACTGCAGACCTTACCCAGCCTTTCCCCGTCCCGCAGACCGGCGCCTCCAGGTTCCTGATCTTCATCTTCACAGCCGTGTCCTTCAACATGGTTGTGGGCATCCTGGCCATGGCCGTCACCATGCTGTCGTCCCAGCCCGCCACCGCCAGCCTCGTCATAAACACCCTCCTGCTGGTAGCCCTGGTCTTCGGCAACTTCCTGGTGAAGATCGGATCCATTCCCGCCTGGCTGCAGTGGCTCAACCACTTGTCCATAATCGGCTACGCGCTGCGCATCATGGCGGTTAACGAGGTGGAGGGCGTGACGTACACCATCGACGTGAGTATCGGCTCGTGTCGAGCCGACACTTTCGACCCGACGTGCATGTCGCGATGTCCGTGATTCGCAACGTCGCGCGAGGCACTGACGTGAGTGCTAAGTACTATTGAATACCATATTTTGTACCAATACATTTTTCTTCAAATGCCGAATGTAATATTTTTGTAGCACATTTTTCCAGATTATTTGCTCATTGATTTGCAGAGTGCTGAGCCAAGAAAGATTGAGTGATGATCGCCAATGAAAGAATCAAATGGGATGGATATACTCTTGCGATGCAAATTGTGCTCATGCCCCAGTCCCGCCACGCCGGCGCCACCTAAGTCGACTTTAAAATTCAGTATTTGAACAGTGCGCTGCAGCAAATGCACCACCTGTACCGAGGGTCAGACGTTCGGAAATGTGACGCCATATTTCACCCGCTGAACTTTAGAGGTGTAGTGTCATCGAATTGATGAATTCACTGTAATCCCGCCGTGAATTCGCTTTCGCGGAATTCCAAGGCGCACGACAAATCATTATCCCCGCACCCCTCTCCCCATTTGCGCGGCCGCGCCTGCGATCTTGCCCCAGTCCGGGAGCGGCGGCCGCATCATCCCTTCACATCGAACAGAGTGTGTACGCCTAATTCAACAATGCATTTCTCTGAATAGTTCATTTCTTTGAACAAGTCACAATCATTTGCGGATTCGATCCCTCGACTGCCAGATCCGCTGCGATTCTGCCGTCGATTAAAGCCCAAACAATTCCGAAACGCACACGAACTGAGCCGCCCTCTCTTTTGTTCTATCTCGTTTGGGAATCAAAAAGCGGACTAAACCGCCCATTTCCCTGGCCCCCCACCCCCAGTCCGGAACCGCCGGCGACATCGAGGTGGAGGGGGCCTTCATACTGCAGCAGCTGGGCATCGACTCCGGCCACTTCTCCCGCGACATCGCCCTGCTGTCCGCCTTGAGCGGGGCCTCGCTGCTGCTGCTGCTGGCGGCCGCCCAGGTGCGGCTGCGGAAGGACGGCGTCGGCGGGTGGGCGGCCTGGGCTCGGGGGACCCCGCGGCGGGCGGCGCGTCGCGTTTCGCGGCGCGTCAGGCGCGGCCTGGCGCGCACCATGGGCCACAGGTCGAAGTCCCTGACGCACGCGGATTTCGCGGACCTCATGTAGGAGGGGAGGCCTTCTTTCTGCCTTTTTCCCAGTGTCTTTTTTTTCGTTTTTACTGGTGAAAATGGCTCCAAAAGCTAGGTCGAGCTAACAGGATTGGTGCGGCTTCAGAACGTTTTGGGCTTCAAATACACGACTCCACAGCTTCAACGCAATTCGAACAAAGATGCGACCTGTTTTGAATGGAAGTATCTTGCCAGTGTCTTCCTTCTCTTTCTTACCTGTTTATATGAGGGGGTTATGGAAAGGGGTTTGTTTGGACCTCATTTTGGTCAGGGAATCTTTTCTTCATTCATTCAATTTTTTGCTTTCCTATTTTTTGAGCCAGCAAGGGAGGGAGGGGAGGGAGTTTTGACCTGGTGCAGGGAATGCGGGGCGGGATTTAGTGTCTGAATTTGTTTGTTTAGAACTGCCTTCGGATTTAGAATTTAGAATTGCCTTCAAAGGGGAGCAGTCTACTTCGGTGCCGGAAGTTCCGGCGCGCTGCAGGCGTTGGCGGGCATCCATGCTTGCAAGGATTTTTGCAACACAGGGCCACTGCTGCGAACAACGGGACCTCCAGGCGGGTTTGGATGTGGGGGTGCTGGTGTTGGCAACGAGCAACGCTGTACGCTGCGGGCAGTGGCGGGCGTTTGTGCGTGCAAGGAACTTTGCCACACAGGGAAGCTGCTGCAAACAACAGGGCCTCCAAGCGGGTTTGGGATGTGGGGGTGCTGGCGGTGTTAGCAACGAGCAGTGCTGTACGCTGCGGTGAAGTCCGACGACTGAGCGTCGTGTCGTGATAAGAGGGCGCGAGTTTTGGAGGCCGTCCGTGGGGCTCGCAACGTTGTGGCGACGTGCCGCAGGGCAGGGAATTAGGGCCGGGGGTGAGGGGCGCGAATTTGGTAGCTTTGGGGTTTACTTTGGGATGCGGAAATATTTGAGGGTGCTGGATTCGTAGTCAGAGACGGCTCTCAACTGGAAGCGACCGTCCTGTGAATCGTGGTTAACCGTATTGCAATATCTATGCTAGAACAGATGTTGAAATACTGGATATCGTTTAAAATGAGCATGCTTTCGGGCAAAAAGCATTGCTCCAAAGCGAATTTGCCTTCCAAAAGGCAAATTTTGCATGAAAGGGAGACTTCTGGTGAGCCTGGGGCCCAGACTACTGAGTTCTAAACATTGCGAGCATTTGCGTCAAAACGCGGCGGAAGTTGTTTGGGAGCCCCTGTGCTTGGGACGCACAGGTAGGTCTGTATGGAATGTGGTGATCCTTCTGGCCCCGGGGCAGTGCGCTGACACCCGCTGACCTTTTGGCCGTTGATTTGGGATGCTGGCAGCGGCCGCCGACATCTGAAGTCAACAGTCCAAAGGTCAACGGGCCGTCACCAGTTGGTGTTGACCTTCGCGCCTTGGCACCCCACCGCTCCACCGCGCCACCCAAGGCGCGGGTACTGCATCAGGCTGGGGATGTCGTGGCCCCGGGGCTCGCTCCTGCCGTGGCATGTTGAACCCTTCCGCACAGTGACGCAATGCTTGGCCTGCTTTTGCGGAGAAAACAACAAAACAAATAACGCTATTTTAAAAGAGTTTTTTTGCGGAGCAACTTAAAAGAAATAAAGCGAAAGCTCCGAAAAAGTGTGCGGAGCAAAAAGCGTAACGGTAAGATTGTTTGACGCGCAAGGGTTGAATGTACTACGGTAGTTTGTGTCGACGGCGGCATATGGAGGTGGGACACGACGCCTGAATCCGCCCTGACTGAGCCGAAACGACACTGCTTGCGTTCTGCGTGGAACTGCACGGCCAGGCATGCTGCGAGCTGCATGTACGTCGCTGCGACGAACGCATCATCTGATCCATCATCTTGTGTTGCAGTAGACTGGCAATACTATAGTACTACAGTATTATAGTGTTTCGAATGTCTTCCAGGGGAATCCCCGTCCACGCCCATACGGGATGCGCCATCACATGTGCACATGGCTGATATGGGCGCGAGTCAAAGAGGCCCCGGATGCTCAACAGCTGAAGGCAATTCTACGGAATTGAGCGCAACTTCCCACAGCTGAAGGCAGCTGAGTGTTCATCCAGCGCCAGTTGGCAGTAATCCTGAATCGTCGGCGCCTGAGGGACAGTTTTTAAATAAGGGCGATGGTTCTAAATCAAGTCGAGCACCAAACGAACAAAAGCCAAGTGTGGTGTTCTGTAAGTATGGGTTAGTGGCCATCACATATTGCACGCGTGTTACGATCGCGGGATTAAGTATGCGCCATGTCACATGCCTCCACACGCACTGTCAGCGTACTGCTGCAGCAACGCTACTCTCTGGCACGTGCAAATCAATGGCGATCGTGATAGAACTAATTGACATTAATAGTGTATTAGCTAGAACTGATTGAGTATTATTAACAGCTGGTCTCATGAAGAAGTGATGAAACAGGAGGAATTGCGTGCAGGACATGGATTAACGGACTGGATGCAACGGACATAACTCCTGTTCTCCCTTTGCTTGGCTGTAAACCGCTGCTGTGGACTTGAGCCTACGTTCCCCGTTCATGGGTCACCACCCCTAGATTGTGCCCGCCTTCGTCAATAGCAATAGGAATTCATCGGTAATGGTGGTAACAGGGGACCAATTGTGGAGCAAGGCCGCCACAGCACAGAATTGCAACAACGAACTTGAATGCTCATTAAATCAAAACATCAACGCTCTCTCGACGGCCGGGCATCCGCTCGAATTCCCTTTGGACCATTAAATTGCCACACGCGAGTTCAAGAGCTAGTCAAGGCATGGCAGCAATGCAGTCCGAGTCATACAGATCGTCACGCCGCTGCACAAGCAACACGGTGCTCAAGGTCCCCATCCACGGCCCACCAAGTCCCAAGCCGTCCACCAACGACGGCCACCATGGGCCAAGAACGTGCACACTGTGCAACCACCATGGCTTCCAAAGTGCAAAGGCACAGCTCCACCCTTCGTAGGCAATTGCACCAAACGAATACAGTGACGGCTGAGCCCCTGCAGCTCCTGCAGCAGCAGGGCGGCAACTCCCTCAACCCAAACTAGCACCCCACGCATCCTGCTCACACCCCAGTCATCGGCTGGTCAGCTGCAGTGGAGGAACGCCTGCCAGTACTGGACCAAGAGGCATGGCGTTCCAGCCAATAGCCTTGCCGTCGAGGCGCATGTGCCAGAAACTGCTCAGACATCCAGAAACCAATTAAGAACTGCCCCGCAATTTGGACTGTTTGGAGGCTGACCCTCCATTCTGACCATCCTCAGAATAGCAGCAACAGGCACAGCCCTCAGTCCAAATGGTACCCAAACAGCAACACTGCATCGGCATCGGGAGTGTGCACCGATGGTTGCCAACAGCACAAATGTGCGCCTTTCCACTCAGGTCAGTTCCAGCGTGGCCACAAGGTTTCTTGGGATGGCCATCCCGCAGGAGACGACGATTTCTGCAGAAAGAGAATGCACACAAGGCACTTCAACTTCTCATTGGACAAATGTTCATCACCAACACCAGCACACAGGACAATGCAGACAACTGTACGTCAAAAGTCCTGCCTGAAAGTACCGCCCTAAACTCTCGCACAATGGTTGGCAGCACTGGAGACCAGCGGGGAGAATACCGCCCTGAGAATTCAAGGCAATCATCAATGTGACATGACCTGAGAGTTAACAAGCAAGGGGACTGAACACAAAAAAAGTTGGCAGTGGCAAATTGAGAGTACCAGGATGCAGCAATGCGACATCCAGCCAGCAACACCATGGCAGCAAATGGAGGCCCGACAAGAACTCACAAGACATCATCCACATGGTCATGGCACTCACCAAGTCCCTCAGCCACTGTCAGGTTTGGCCGCAAGATGTCCTTGCTGCTGAGCAGGAAGATGTCCCCCACGTACACATGGTTGGTGGGAACATACACAGTGTTCAGATGGAGGTCGCCCTGGGGCGTCTGCACACAGAAACAACACCACATCAAATGCCAAGGGAGCTGTTCACTCAATTTTGGTGTCCATATACTGTGCTAAGCCTGAATGGCGGTATGGCGGAAATATGACACACAACCAGGGCTCACATTGCATATCAGACCCCTTTCTCATCACCACTCTGACAACAATCCTCAATACTTGAAACACAGCACATAGTGCACACCACAACTCTCTACTGAGACTTCAATCACATAAAAGCACTCGCTGCAGTCAACATCGGCTGCATGAATTTGCTAACAAGCAAAACAGGAGGAGCAGGGTAAACCAGGCTGGTACACAAGGCCAAGACATTAGCTGCAAAATCTTGACCCCCCTTTGACAGAATGAAGTTTGGGAACAACAACCACACCCACCTCTATCCTGGACTCTCCTGTTATGAAGCCAAAGGCGAACTCCCCACTCCTGGGGTGCTTGATGATCACACACTCTTTGAATGCCTTGGCCTTGTCATCATCAGGGTTGATTGCAGTGCTCACCTGCAGCGAAATCGCCAATTCCAGTTCATGCAAACTGTGGTGGTATCAGAGGATATCAGAGCATTTGCACTCAGGAGCTTGCAAGACCCATGGCGATTGAGGACAACATCAATATCAACTGTGGACAATATTCACAGTTTAACGGAACGGAATGAGTCAACTCTTCAAAGAGCACTGGCATTTATCCTTTTTCCCTTCAGTGCTTATCCGAAAGGAACACCGCAGGACATATGACACTTCAGCTGTCCTTCCTGTCTGCTGCCTTGCCCCAATATTCCATTCCAATATGCTATTGCTTTTACATTGCAGCTAAAAACTCGCAACAGGACATAAATTCTCCTTGCCATAAGTTGCATATATTATTCATATTTGCTATACCATTCACAATTCAAACAAGTAGGAAACACAAAAGGGAGAAAAAGCAGGAAACAAGGGGCAGGTCTAACCTGCTTGGACGCAGAGTAGATGTGCTTCACCAGCGGCAGCTTCTTGATTATCCACTCCCCCAGTTCAAGGAACCAGCTCCCCACCCATGAGGAGAAAAACAGACCTGGTCAAAGCACATGTCATCCACTGAGTGTTCTCGATGCTGTGGAGGTGCCACTGCTGAGCAATAGGATAGCGCTTCTAGGACACAAACTCTGGAAATGACCACATCGCCTTTGCCCGGGGATAGTGTGGATGCAGGATGCTCCCACAAGCTGCTCTTCTTCTTGGCAACACCCTTTTGTCCTCAACGAGTGCAAGACACTGCACTGATAACTCAATTACCAATGTCCAATTTACCTACTGAGTATCTAGCTGTCTTGTATAGCGTCTAGCACTTAGTCTTTAACTTTGGCACCGTGCTCACCTCACCCAAAAGGTTGTTGGGTGTCCGGGTTCAAGAATCACAAGCTCAATGTCGCATGCACAAATGCACTGCCATGCTTGCCTATTTACACCAACTGTCCAGGTGCTTTTCTGCTAAGGGGCCAATTCAGCCATGCCGGCTATCAACTGGCCATCCCTGCAACTTACTGTACCCGCTCCATGGCAGATCGTCTGATCAACATTGGTAATGCCACATTGGCTCAGCCCAAACAGGAAAACGATCTGCACGCCAACCTGTTCCCTCATGACTCTCACCTGTGAGGAAGATGAACACCTGCAGTGGAAAGGCAAGACGAATTGTTGATCAGTCAAACACAGTTTGCGACAGCTGGTTGCTTGGTGGCTCTTCTCAACGTGATTGTTTCCGTCAGCAGTGAGCACACAGCGATACTGATTATGTGCACACATCAAATTTTGAACTCCAGCATCGCCATTTGAAGGCCACAACTTTGCACTTCTTTGCTGGAGTATGTAGAATCAACAGCCGATGGGACAGACCATCACATCCTTGTGCTCAACTTAAATAACTTTCCACCAAAAAATGATCGGAGTGGTGGTTATCCTGCACTCACCATGGACGTAAGGAAGCCCAGGCCAAAGACCTTGTACCCGAAAAGCTTCTTGTACACCGGCTGGAAGAAACAAGCACCACAGAGAAAGTCACAAAATGATTGTTCAGTCAGTAATTGCATCGAGGGAAAAAATTTAGAAACAATTCAGAAACAGCCATTCCTTAGTCGCAATTGAGATCCCCAGTCACTGGCTGGCAGTTGCCAAAGAAAATGCAAAAGCACTGCATCTGCCTCTACAAGAAGTTGATGGGCACGGCCAGCCGACGACTAACTACTGTCAACAATCAACAGAAGTCGTGTATCCCTGACTGCATAATTTACACTCCTGAGTGCAATCCCTGATTATGCCACAGTTGCATGTCAGTGCCAAAAAGGAATCCTTGCGCTTTCAAGGCCATGGGCAGGGTAACTGCATCAAGGGAGCTGGTTATGCAGAGTAGACACAAGCAACTGGCAGCCTGAAATTGGTTGGTTTGGTGCAGGCTTCAGCATGCTCAAAATAACTGCATAACAGGAAAACATGTGCACCAGCAGAGCAAAGCACACAGGCATGTCGATGGACCTGCTGCTGCCACTCTGGCAGGCAACTTTAACTTCAGTGCGAAGATTACTGTCCAAGAAAGTAAATTGACAACAATCCACAAGAATAAAATATGCGTAGAACAAAGTAACAACAAACTTTAGTTGCTGCCTGCTCGCTTCCAAACTTGGGACAGACAGCAAAACTATGAAGTGGTCAAGTTCTGCAGCACACAGTTCCCAACATCAGTGCAAAGGGTGCAAGGATCTTAGTGGGAAAGACAAACAGACCACTGTGCTGGAAGAACAACAGCCTTCCGCTGCCGTGCGGTATGCACACACATGCCTGTGTGGGGGCCAGTGTTGAGATGCACGCGTTGAATATGCACAGGCAAAAGGCAAGCAGCACGCAGACTCACCGAGAAGAACGCATCGAAGAAACCCACAAACCAATACGTCAGGAAGCCTGTGACGACGATGGGAAAGAGAATGGCGCTGGTCAAATGATCAACACACCTCTCCGTCAGCAATAGAATCGGTAGCCAAGGAATTCATCCCAGTTGACATACCAAACATGGAAAACAAGCGATGTTGAAGAGATACAACCAATGCAGAATACATGCAAGTCGGATGTACAGTTGGACTCGATGATGGCGTCTATGGAAATTGCACTGTGGGCACACTGCACTAGAGCGACTGCCCTTCTAGCATCCTGGCCTAAAGATAAAACGCCATCGAGGCACCCAACAGTGTTGATATGAGTGCTGCCTCGCAACGCTCCATCAGAAGATGGAAATCAGATAACCAAGAACAGCACTAGGGCCATCTCAAAATAAGCTAATAAAACAAACTAATAAACTGAACAATCAACAAGTACAATGGCAGAATTCAAAAAACGGCCACAAACATGTGGCCATGCATGCAAGAAGGGGTGCCAGAGCAAAGAAGAGTTTGCTGGTCAGGGCTGAAATCTGCTTTGTTCAATTCGTGGCTGTAATCAACCCTGACTCACAATCCGGTCATGAAGCGCTTGGTGGCCCAGCTGGTGAGCACAGAGTACACTGCCTGCGAATGCAAACACACATCTCAGCACTGCCAACACAGCACGAAATTGCGCAATGCCACACATGGGCAAAATCCTGCCCAGCAGGATGTTCCAGAGCAGTTGCCAGCAACAATCCACCAACATCACTTCTCAATCCTCACTGGGGACTTGGTGTTCGGTATGTGTTCTTTTGGTCGTCAACACTCAACCCCTCCCTGCAGCTGGCGCCCTCGTTTTCAACCGATGCTGCATAACATGTGAAAGCCCAGTACCCTGTGCTGCTGTTTTCCGTTGCTTCAATCTTTGGACTGCAATTTTGAAAAGCAGAATGAGAAGCCCCATTCCTGTCCTTTGGTTCCAGGTGGACAGCACTGGTGCCCTGCAAAGGAGGAGATTTTTAGCTTGCAGATGCATTGGACGTGCGCTGGTGCAGGTATGAGTGGATCCCTGTCATAAAGAACTAATCCAGTGCAAGGTTCGCCCTTTCAACCGTGTTGCCACTGCTGAATAACGTCGTGTGCCAAAGAATGCTTGAGCAAGCATGCATAACACAGCTCCAATTGTACTTGAAGCACAGCCTGGCCCAACTAATCACCCACAACAACACATTCAAGACACAAAGGTATGCAAATCTGGAACCACACGCGATTCACAACAACTGCACTGGGAAGAACGCTCGCACGCCCTCCACTGAACGCCAGCTTTCCTATGCGACAACAACCCAGCCACACTTCCTTCAATCAGCGCTGCAACCTCCCGCATGCGGCACATTGCCTGGTGGCTGCCACCTCCAAATCCCACAAAATTGACATGTTACGGCAGCGTCCTCCAGAACCTTCGGGCCCCATGCCTCGCAGGGCGGCTTTGGCGATTGCCTAGCCCCCCCCGCTTCACCACGTCGACCAGCCAGCCCTTTTCCAAATCCCAAACACTAGCTTGCGCCATGGCGCCTCTCCACCCGCCCCCTTCCCCATCCCCATCCCCACCGCCCCTCAGCAGCGAATCAATCCAACCATCAAGAAGACAACCACGCGCAAGAAACCTCAGGTGCCTCTCGGGTACACCCCCGCCCAAATCCTCTCCAAATCGCTCCGAGAAAGTCACCCCCCACCGCCTCCCGCCCAGAATACCACGGCGCACAACACAGCGAGGCAAAAAGACAGCCAACACAGAACGGAGCAACCCCCCCCCCCCCCAACCCCACCCCACCCCAGGCCCTTCCCTCCCCCACTGACCAGTATGACCTGTTTGTTTCTCTCTTTGTAACAAATCATACCCCTCACTGATTTGCTTTCGAAGGGAGCGCCATTTGTATGATACGTTTTTTTCCCTTGCAGCAGGTCTCCCCCCCCTCCCTCTGCTCACCTCCCTCGGTGTGTTCATCGCCGTCCGCGGCGACGCCGGCTCGCGCAGCTCCGGCACCGACAGCAGCCCGCGGTCCTCCCCACGCGGCGCCATGCCGCCCCTTCCCCCTCTCCTACCCGCCGCCTCCGCCGTGGTGCGCCCCGCCCGGAGATCCCCCGGAGGCGCTCGGACAGGATGGCAGCCGGCCGGCGGGAACCAGAGACGGCGATCGCAAGCGGGCGGTCAGGGGATCGGCGAGGCGAGGTGCGGTCCGGGGCTTCGCGGCGATGCGAAAAAAACTGGAGATGGCTGGATGGATTGCCGGTGTGGAGAGTTGGAGGAGTGTTTGTGCGCGTGTAGGTGGGGGGGGGAGTGCAGGTGGTGGTTGGTTGCTGTCTGGAGTGGGTTCGTTGGGGATCGCGAGAGGACAAGAGGGGGCACCTTGGCGGGTAGGACAGGTGTCATGGGGGGGTGATTCACAGCTGCCCAGCGGGTCCCGTGTGCAGCATCTTAAAAAAAATCACTTGGATGGCAGCGCCTAGATTTTGTTTTCTTTTCCAAGACAACACAGCCTTGGGTGGCACTCGATGTCTCTGTTCTTTTTTCTTGGAAGAATCGTACGGGCAGCAATGCTGCGGGGTGGTCGTTATGTAGGGCGGGCGCCCTTGTCAGAGTGAATGGCTGTGGAGTTTAAATTGCCTGAATTCGGCAGAATGGCAGGCAAAGCCAAACAGAAACGTGGATAATTCTGATGTTCAATTTCGCATCTACCCACGATCCATCTTGAGGACAATAGTACTCTAGATCAGCGCCTGCTGAAACCATATCCAAACGCCGGCTGGCAGCGAGACCTGAGCTTCATGATTGGAATTGGCTCCACAACGGGCTGCCTCTATTGTTACATTTCGTCAGATGATTTGCTGCAACAACAAAAGAGAACCAGAACAGAAATAAGAGCCCAGCGCACAATGGGCAACCCCTGTTGCGCATAAAGACAGTGATATTCTGCTCCATATTGTGAAAGAAGGGACATAATCCTCACTTGCTCGTGCAGACACTGTGCGAATCTCCCCAGGAAGCCCTCAACGTTCAGTGTCACGTTAGGGCAGCGGTGCACCTTCATGCATCTGAGAAACCCCAAAGGAGATAGGCCAACCACCCCGGCACTCTTTATCTGCCAACAGTCGCTTAGATCCAAAACAACAAGAGCCATCAGGTTGCCAAGCGCCCACACGCCAATGTCTGTCAGTCGCCTCAGTGCAACCTGCCAGCTCCAATACCGTCAGCGCTGTCAAACCCTGGAGATTCATCAAGGCAGAGTCGTCGATGGTCCGGAACCAACACAACTTCAACTCCTCGAGGCGCACCATCCCCATCAGGAGCCTCACACCTGGGTTTGTCACTTTGACGCATTGGGACAGATCCAATTTTTTGCGGAGCAACGTAAAAAACAAAATTAGCGCTCTGAAAACCAAAATGCGGAGCAAAAAGCGTAACAGCAAAATTTTCCGATGCGGAAGGGTTTAAAAACGTACCGTACTCAAACCGCACGATACCAAGGCTCAAGTGCAGTGCAGGGTGCGCGAGGGGCTGTCGCCTCAACGACGGAAGACGGAAGACTGAATACAAGACGACCACCGGCGACGGAAGACCACGCCGCGCACCGCTTCGCCTAGGCAGTCGACGACTCTGCTCCGAGCCCTCCCCAGCGACGGGCATCCCCGCGAGGCGCCAGAGGCCGACGACCTCCGCCGACGGGCCCCCAACACAAACCGTGAGTGCCCCATTGCCACTTCTCCAAGATCACCCGACTTTTGACACCCAAGAGAACGGCCCTTGCACCTTGATGGTGGGCGCGGCGATAAACGCCTGGGCTGGAATCATGCAATCGAGAGCCTGGCGGACGCGCGGCGAATGTGCACCGCAGGGCGTTGGATTCGGAGATTGGGGCGGTCGGTTCGCCGAATTGGGTTGCCTTCGCCCTGGCTTCAGGCCAGCAGCCGGCGGGCGGCCGTGAGTCGGATGGGCGTCCTCTACGCCTGTAGGGGGTGCCCCCCCCGGCTTCCATGCAAGTATCGATGCCAATCAGTCGAGCACACAGCCAAACTGTCGCCGATTGTCAACGGCACCGTGCTTTTTTGTCTCGTCCACCTCTGCATGTTCTTGATGTCTCCCCACCCCCTCTGCCCTTGGTCCGAGAAACCTACCCGCCACTTTTGGCGGGGTCGCCAAGCGCTTCCTCAGCGTTGGGAAACGCGCGGCCAGAAACGGCATCGATGTTTTGGCGGGTTGACTTGCCGGGTGCGTGGGTGCCCCGAGCCTTTGCCTCATCCAGTCCAAAGGGCAATGTGCCTCTTGCCAACAAATGCCAGACCACGCGCGGGGGTGCAGGATTGGTGTCCAGATCATGATGATTTCACCGGAGTGTTGTCGCCGCACCCTCGTTTGTGGCCCCTGGCACGAATCCCTTGTCTTGCTGTGGCGATGTGCCGGCTTGCGCCTGTCCTGCCAGTGCACTGCGCTCCCCGGCGACGGGAAATTGTTGTCCAACATTTTTGCTGCCAAACAATCGCAAGCAGGCAGGCAGCGTAGCACACAAGTCCGACACTGCTTATTTCCCTTTTCCCCCTTTCCTGCTTTTGCCCCCTTTCCCCTTTACGATTTCGCCGCTTGGCCCGAACCATTCCCCGTTTGCAGCAAGAAAGTGTTCAGTAATGCACACAACTCCCACACTTTCTGCAACGAAACAGGGGGTGGAGTTTTATTATGACCTCACAAGCACGCTTTGCCAATGTCCTTCAAGCTTGCAGGCGGATGAAAACTGTGTCCAGGACACAGTTTTCATAGTTGACACAGCCTGCCCAGCCAACTGTGTGAGACACTGGGAAAACACAGATCACTCATGCTGTGAAGTCCACTGGCTTTGTTTGTCATGGCCTTTCACCAAGTGGAATCCATGGCATCTCACTTGCATTTACTGTTGGCATCCCAATGTTGTGCGCGGAAGGATGGAAAGCCCAACATTTGTGACCTAGTCTGGCCAAGAAGATTGTAAGGTGGCTGGCTGCTGAGAGAGCAAATTATTGGACTGTGTGCATAGCCCCCGTGCTGCACATTATGGACTGGTGAACAGCCAGCTGGTCAGTGGGATGTTCTTGAATCATGACAGGCACAATTGCCAGTAGTTGTGTCCTTGCATGAGCGAAGTCCCACACTAGATTGGACTTACAGAAACCCAGTCAATGACATTTGCAAGGTGGAATTAAATTGAAGTGCAATCCATGCATCGCTGACGTTTATTCACTTCAAGCTATGCACACCCCAAGAGATCCCAACGGACCATGGTCCAGATGTGTAGCTGGCAGTAGAGTGAGAGGGCATACCAACAGTATGTATCGGAAGATACCAGGGATGGTGTTCTGTTCATTCTTCTGTGCACATGCATGTCCAGCTGATGGTGGAAGGGAAAAGGAGGAACATGCAAATCATAATGTACCAGATTTGGGAGTATGCTTGGCAAAGGTAAGCGCTTCTGATGTGGCATCTTTTGTGCTGCTCTCTACAGGGACTGAGAGCCTCACATCGCTTATCGACCACTGAGAAACTTCAGCCGATGCATCAGGGGGGTACCCACCAGGGCGATGGGCAAGTGCGTGGCTCCTTGCAGCTGTCGTAGATCCACCTTGACTTAGTTCATCAATGTTTATTTGTAGCTTGTATGTTTCACTTGTTGTTTGTTTAAGCATGACAGATCCTGCTTTGCTGTTGACAGAATAGGCTTTCTTTGCTCAGTGGTGAATTGACTGCCCCCCAAATTGTGCTTGAGAATTGGCGACACTCAGTGCTTCTGCCCGGCGATAGGTGCCCCTGGATGTGGTGCAATAGACACCCATGATGGAGTTTTGCCCAAAGCCTATCATCTCCAGATGCGGAGCAAATGAAATGCTTGCTGGTTTGGTTCGCATCAGCTTGACATAAAACTGACAACCCCTCACCCACATCGCAGGTCCCCGTCTCGCCCGACTGGGGCTACCTGCCCCTCCACGTGCTGGAGGGCGCCAAGGCAGCCATGGCGCTCAACGAGGCCTCCGTCCTGCTCAAATGCGCCCGCCTGGTCAACCGCCATTGGTCTGCCTGGGCCACCGGCGCCTTCGACTCGCACAGCTGCGCCGGCCGGGACCTGCGGTGGGCGCTGCCCAAGTTCCGGCGGTCAATTGAGAGCTTAACATTGGAGACAGTCCCGGACCGTGTTTTAGAGCCTCTGCCTTCTTTCCCCGCCCTCAAGCACCTCAAAATGTTCCTGTGCCCCGAACTGACCCACGCAGGGGTCTCCGTGATCGGCGGACTGACCCACCTGGCCGCCCTGGAGCTCGTCGGCTGTGATTGCGTAACGGACGGCGCTCTGGCGGCGCTGGCCCCCCTGGGGGCCCTGGAGCGGATCAATCTCACGGGATGCAAGGAAATAACGGATGCATGCATGAACGCTCTAACCGCGCTCACCGCCCTCACCGACGTCGACCTCACCGCGTGCAAGCGGCTCACCGACGAGTGCGCGCGGCTCATGCTTGGAATGCCGCGCCTGAGCCGTGTGTCCCTGTCGCGTTGCCACCTGATCACGGACGACGGCGCGGTGGCCCTGGGATCCATCCCCGTGCTGCGGTCGGTCAACCTGCACGACTGCGATGGGGTTACCGACGACGGCGCCGTGCGGCTGCTGGCACCCGCCCGCCTCGAGGAGGCCCACCTGCCCAACCGTGCCTCCGACGTGGCTCTAGATTCCCTCGCTGCCGCCTCGGGGCTCAATCGACTGGATCTTGGCCGCTGCCGGTTGGTGACCGATTCAGGCATCACGTCCATTGCGCGGTGGCTCCCAAATCTGCAGTCGCTGGACCTGGCGCTGTGCACGCGGATGTCGGACGACGGCGCCGCCACCCTGGGCGGGATCACAGCTCTGAGGGAGCTGTGCCTTTGGGGCTGCATCGGTGTGTCGGGGGAGGGCGTGATCGCGCTCTCGGGGTTGACATCCCTGGAGGACCTCACCCTTGGCTGCTGCCAGAGGGTTTCGGATTCAGGCGTGGCTGCCCTATCCGCGCTCATGGGCCTCACGCGACTGTGCTTGGACAGCTGCAGCAGGGTGACTGACGAGGGCACCGGGTGCCTGGCCGGCCTGACCCGCCTCAGATCGTTGCGCCTTGGCGGGTGCAGCCAGATCACGGACGCCACTGTGTGTAGGCTGGAGGGCCTCAGGGAACTAACGGACGTCGACCTGTCCAAGTGCTCGAGAATAACGGACAGCGGGTTGGCGGCGGTGGCCCGGCAAACGCGGCTGGCGACGGTGTACCTGTCGGGCTGCGTGAAGGTGACTGATGGGGGCGTCCGGCTGCTGGAGCCGCTGCGTTTTTTGAGGCGGGTGGACTTGGGGGGGTGCCCGCTGGTCACCAAGGCGGCCAAGGCGGCGCTGGAGCAAGAAGGGCGTGTTACAAAGACGGTCGTCACCCATTGGCACATTCGCGTCTAGATGGCTGTGTGTACGCGTGTAGATTGGTTGGGATTTAGGACTTGTGTGGATGTGATTAGCAGCGATTAGATTCAGACTGACTTTACAGATGTTTTGCATTCACCGCAGCCAGAAATGGTTCTGACGATGGTCCAATGGCGACAGCGCCCTTATGGGACGTCGGCCAGCACGGGGCCCCATGCATGAAATGACGTGCTACCCATGGCCATGGCGCTGCCTCTCACGTCCCAGCATTCCTTTCCGCATCTAAGCACTCAGACTCCGCGGTTCCCATGATCCTGCAGTCTCTCAGGGCGTTTCTATGTGTTTACTAATACTATCCAATTCATTACTAATATACCAAGAAAACTGGGCAGCATTTCCCCAGCATTTTGGGTACTCTGCTGACATGTCTTTGCCCTTTCATTACTCTAATGGTCTTCTTTTGGCCTGTACAGCTGCTATTGCCGATTTTCACGTATTTTCACAGTGTGCTCCGGCGTGCATGCATCCTCATGCAGGAATTTTGGTTCTTTAACTGCCACCTGACACCTTTTTCTAACACAGCTGTGAAATGCGTTTTTTCCTCTCTCTCTTCGATTGCCACTATTGCAAAGATGCCTTGTGAAACGGGTCATTTTGCAGGCAAATCGAACAAAACGGCGGAAGCCCGCCGCTGTGATATGGCAGTGACTGGTCCATGATTGACGGACGATTGTATAATTGTAGAAGGCACACGCCTGTCCGCGATCTCCCTGCAGCTCTGTTCCCTCGGCCGTGTCTCCAAGCATGGATCGTGCCTGCCTCCGACATGGTCCCACCCCGAACCTGTCATATCGGCGCACCCCCACCCCCCCACCCCCGGCCGCCGTACTCCAAAACACACAGTTTGATGCTGCGCCTTATCTCTTGGCAACTGCAAGAGTGGCGGTGCTCGACAAACCGCGAGAGGCGCAACACGGGCTGCTGTTCCCACCCGTGCAAGTGCCAACGCTGGACTTCGGAGCCCAAATTCTCTTCTCAACTACCTGTTCGATGTTCGCACCAGCGCACAATGCCCAATCCAGCACCAATCTGCAACCTGCTGATGCACCTGCAACACCATCTGCAGTTGTGGGTGCCTGTTGAAAGTAACGCCCCATCACACGCAGAATGACGGGTGATTCTCCTCTGGGGTCTGCCAGAGAGGCAGCGACCGCCGATCGCCCCCTTTCAGCCTTCTTTCGCAGCCTGCACTCGCTGCCGGTGCCTCTGCAGTACCTCTGCCTTGCACAATCCCGTCCTCAGTTCGCGATTCCTTCGATGCACCGCGTAATGCGCCCTCTCGCTCCCAGTCAGTCCACGCTTGCATCTTTTGTATGACAAGACACACACCATATATCTTTATCACTTTCCCATCAGTTTTTTCACACACTCATGATTCGACCCCACAGCCGCACTTCTATGACATAATCCAACGCTCTTTTCAAGCACAAGAGTTGTCACCATCCGTGATTCGACCCAACAGCTGGTCACCCGCCGAACCATCCAACGCCGCTGCCAATGACAGTCAGCCGACCCGACATTCCATCAACCATCAAATCAATGCCTGGACAAACCCCGCTGTTCGGGTCGCCAGTAATGCTTACAATCTACTCGTTGACCAACAACATGATGCATACAGTAAGCGGCTCCCTGCTGGAACAAAACTTCCAGTGTGCACAATGACACAAAGGGTCAATTGATGCTTAAGATGATTTGACAAGGAGTTTTGATGAGTTAGTTGACTTGAATGACAGAATTTGGCGATGAGAACATGATCATTGTGTAGTTTGCGTTGTTTTAATGAATTTTGATATATTATATTAAATAATAATCGTTTAATCATTAAATTCACAAAAATCATTTAGGGTAATGATTAATCATCTAAATTTCATCATGACAGGCCAGTGTGACATGGCATGAGGTCACACACGCTGGGCTATAGGTGTAAAATTGGTGGTACTAGGTCGTTGGCCATGGTGCATTATGTGCATTACATAAGGATGGTGGCAATGGTGTGATCATCACACTGTGATGAATTGTGATAAGAGCCTGTCACCATACTGCCACCCTTGGCAACGTGTGTGGGTGCCGTGGAGTGCAATAGGTGCCTGATACGTCATATGGGTATTAAAAGCCCATTTTAGCATAATAGACAATATTGAGTTTCATTATAAGGATGGCGTGGTTTTCGGCTCGATGCGCGGGCGATGTGCCCGCCGCAGCGCCCAATCCAACCCAAATGGGCCTCCTCTGCCGAATGATGGCAGGCGGTCCGGGGCGCTCGTTCCTTCAGGGTGCGCAGTGTGGGTTCAGTTCTATGATCAACTGGGCGCAGGGCGGCAGTGCGCGCAGTGGGTGCGCGACGCCGGTGCAGCTCGCGGGTGCAGCCGCGCGGAGGCGAGTGGTCAGCAAGAGTTACACTACGTCAGGCATTGGGGTCACCCTTTGGCGTGCCCCATGTCATGTGACAATGCGGACAGCGTCACCGTATCGATAGTATCTCATCCCCCAGTACGGTGCGGAGGGGTACTTTAAGTACTGTAGCTTTTACTAGCTATATCTCCGCTACCGCTAACCCGAATGATATGATACGAGAACCTATGGGTTCCTAGAAAGCTCTACTAAAGGATGAGATTATTAATTAATATTTATTGTACATCCCAAATACCCATAACCAAGGAAACACACTACCCCCTGTGCTTTACACCACAGTACTCCCCCCTGGGGGTAGTTTCACCCTCAAAACGTCAGGCCAACCAGTGGCCTTAATTATCCTCTATTGGTTTGTCCCTCTTGATCGTTTTTTTGAGATCCTCCTAGTGGGTAAAGTTCTCCTCAGGAGTCCAAGTGGCATTATCCAGTGAATATTCCTTCCAGAGGACCAAATATTCCTTCTGCCGCTTGGTACTGGGACTTGTCCAGTGCCAACGCAGTAATCTCTCAACGTTGTATGGCTCATCATCCTTAGGCTCAATCTCCTCCACCTGACCAGATGTAGTGGGTTGCATCCATGAACTAGTCCTGAAAGGATGCAACAAGTTGACGTGGAACACATTATGTATTTTCAATGTTTTTGGAAGATCGAGCTTGTAGGCCACCTGTCCCACCGGACGGACAATGAAGAATGGGCCAACGGACCTCTTCTTTAGCTTGCGGATCAGTGTGTGTTTCAAGTTGAGGTGCTGTGTTGAGAGCAACATCTAATCCCCACTATTGAACTGCCGTTCCCTTCTCTTCTGGTTGGCTTGTGCCTTCATGCGATCTTGAGCCCAGTTCAGAAAATTGACTGCCGTTGAGAAATTCCTTTTCATCCACTCTACGAACTGGTTGACCCCCTCAATGAGAGTAGAGTCACTATCGTGGATGAGGTCTACCAGAGTACATGGATGGAAACCGTAGCTCAAGTAAAACGGCATGTACCCAGTCACCTACGTTGAACTGTTGTTGATCACAAACTCGACAGTGGACAACAGCCGCTCCCAACTCGATCCATCCTGCCTGCGTGTAGAGTGTAGCGTAAAACCCTCTCCACCACCCTGTTCATCGCCTCTGTCTGACCATCTATCTATGGGTGGTACGTACTGGACATCCTCAATGAACTCCCCAGAATGTTCTATTCTCGCCAGAACTCGTGCCAGAACTTGGGCACAAAGTGTGGGTCTCTATTACTCACAATAGAATGAGAGATTCCATGAAGCTTTCCCAAAGTAGTTCAGTAGAGTTGGGTTGTGTCAGCAGCCGTGATAGTCTGCTTGACAAGTGCCAGATGCACCATCTTCATGGCCCGATCCACCACTGTGAGTATCCCATTGTTCCCAGCCTCAGACTTTGGTAGAACCATGATGAAATCCAAATTGACGTCGGCCCACTTCTGTTCTGGGAGTTTTAATGGCTGAAACAATCCATTGAGGATACGGTGAATGGCCTTCTCTTGTTGGCAAGCTGGGCACCCCATCACAAAATCCCGAATATGTAGGGTGTGCTCAGGCCAGTAGGCCAGTAGAAAGTCTTCTGAATATTTTTCAACGTTCCCTCATGATTTGCTTCTCGATGTCTGGGACAACTGGGACCACCAGCTGCTGTGCCTTCTGGGTTTTATTGTTGTCTCTCACTTCCAACAATCCTCCTATAATTCAGAAGGATCGATCTCCAATCGTCAACGCACTGTCCTGGGTAGATTCTAGTTGGGAAATAATATCCGCCCAGTGTGTATCCTCTTGTATGCCCTTTTTGATCCCCTCTCCATAGGTGGGCCGTCCAGGAACGGGGACGGACTAAGAACGGGGATGGGAACGGGAATGGGGACAGACTGGAGTCCGTCCCCGTCCTTGGGCTGGACAGATTTTGGACGGATTTGGGACGGATTTTGGACGGATTTGGGATGGATTTGGGACGGACTGGAACGGACTGGAACGGACTGGAACGGACTGGAACGGACTGGAACGGACTGGAACGGGTCCGTTCCTGACCCTGGAACGGACCCAGGAACGGGTCCATTCCTGGGATAGGAACGGTGTCCGTTCCCGTCCCAAGAATGGACCCGTCCCTGGGATGGGAACGGACACCGTTGCCATTCCCGTTCCGACCAACTTTGGACGGGCCCACCTCTGCCCCTCTCTCATGCTTCTCGCCAATGAAATGTAGGACCTGGCGACAAAAAGTGAATGTCCCAACTCGCCCTCTTGACCCGTGGCTTGGGTCACCTCCAGTCTGCTCTTTGCAAAAACTTGATCCAATTTTCGTTGGATCCCGTTGTCAAACTTGTCCTCTCCCAGTAGCAACCTTTTGACCAATTACTCTTGTTCCTTTGGACATGGACCATCTCCTTCATGTCCCTTAGACTTTTGTGTGAGAGGAAGTATGTGGGGTTCTTTTTCTCTGATATATGGACCAGGTCACAGTCGTACCCCTAAAGAACCTAAACCCACTGCCAAGTCTGCCTGTTCACTGAAGGTTGATTGGCCAAGTTTTTTAAAGAGTCATGGTTAGTCTAGACG